GTACGTTGTCGATGAGATGGCGTCCAACGTGCTGGTCAACAGCGGATAGGCAGTCGTCGAGAAGATAGATGTCCGCACGAGCATACACAGCACGAGCAAGCGTTAGTCGGGCCTTTTGACCACCTGAAAGTGAGATACCTCGTTCACCGACCTCGGTCTGGTCGCCGTCGGGAAGGGAGCCAAAGTCGTCTCGTAGTGCACAGGCATTGACAGTCTTCTCGTAGAACTGGGGATCCCAGCGATGACCGAACACAATGTTCTCGCGAACGGAAGCGTTCATGACCCAAGCTGACTGTGGAACATAGGCAGTCTTTCCGCGAAGAACGACCTCTCCATGTATCTTCCAAAGGTCACCAAGCACTGCTTGGAGAAGCGATGACTTGCCTGCACCAACGCGACCAACAATACATGCGAGATCTCCCTTGTGCGCAGTGAAGTTGATGTCATGGAGAGCACGGCGCTCAGCGTTCTTGTCCCAAGTGAAGCTAGCATCGCGAATGCGCACCGACTCGTCGCCATTCTCAGTCACAGCGTCTTCGCGAATAACGGCATCCTCCTGCAACTCATCGGCAGTCAGGTAGCCAGTAATACGGCCGACAGCTACACTGGCCTCAACAATGGCGGTGATAACCATAGGGAGGATGGCAAGTGGGAAGGTGAGGAGATTGAAGAGCGTAAGAGCAGGGAAGACAATGTCAGTTGTCAAAGCACGGTTCTGCGTCCAGACGAAGACACCAAAAGTTGAGCACGACACCAAGAATGGAGTTGTAGACCACGTGAATGTCGAGAATGCTTGAGTCGCACCAATCTTGCGCAAGGTCTTGAGTTCCTGGTCGTTTCGGATGGTGTTCAGGCGGTTGGCAAAAGCAGTTGTCCAAGCGTAGAGCTTGATCGACTTCATGTTGTTGAGGATCTCAGAAATCAGTTTGGTACGCGAATCCTTGTTCTTCATCTGTTCCTTCTGTAGAGTCTTCATCCACCGTGCAATCACACCGTTGATGGGAATCATGACGAACATGGCGGCAACACCTGCGAAACAACTGACACCAAGCAATTGATACAACGATAGCATGCACAGGATGATTTGGAAGGGAGCAGACCACAGTTGTTGTCCGTATTGCGCAAGATCCTGAAGACGCTGTGTATCCACGGCCATGTAGTTGACGATATCACCGGTTGACTTGGACGCGCGACCCTCGTTGGATAGACGGGTGGACTTGGAGTAGATGGCAGCCGTGAGCGAAGACTTGATGCGCATGCCGGTTTCGAAAGACCGCTGGAAGTATTGGTGGAGGCAGGCAGTCTGCGAAACGGATACGGCGAACATGGCAAGCGCGATAGCCGCACCACGAATGAGAGGCTGAGGCTCTCCGGGATAGTTGGCGCGGTACGAATCGACGAAGGTGATCAGAAGTCTCAGCAACTGGGGTTGAGCGAAGTTCAGGACGTCGCTTATGGTCTTGATGGCAGCGCCGCGGAAGTAGGGACCGCCGAATGAGCGGAACATGGCCAGCCACAACGAAGGGCGCTTCTTCTCCATCTCGTATTTCCACGCATCCTCAAATGTCTGCGAGGTGTGTCGTGTCGTGTCGCGCTTTCGCAGGTTCCACAGGCTGTCCTGAGTGAGGAAAGTCTTGTATCCTTGCTTCATCATCGGTGTCATCCAGCCAAATGTCAAGACAGAGAAGACGTCCGCGTATTCGTATGGACACTCATCGTCATCACCAAGCATGTCGTAGTCGCTCATGCGCTTCGGGACCAGCCATTCCAGTACGAATGAGAGCCCAGCCAATCCAACACTAGCGCAGAAGACTGCGAAGTATGCCACATGTTCGCGATGTACCTGCTGGGAGACGAGGGAGCGGAGCTTGACGGCGTATGCGATGAGCAAGAAGAGCCAGTAGAAGAGGACCACGCCGTTGGCATTTCGCGACCGCCAGTGTTCGATGTATTGGATGTGGAATATGAAGCCGAGAGAGACGACGGTGATTATCGATGTCCAGAAACGGAAGTCGCCGGCCCATACGTCTTTGTAGTATTCGATCTGGAGGGCTGCCTGGACTGCTGTGGTGGCGATGAGGGCGCCGAGTGACGTCTGGTGGCGCAAATTGTTAGCTTCTACTCAATCTAATACCTGAATGAACCCAAAGTCTCGAACATACCAGCTTCGCGTAAAAGTGCCAATTGCGCTTCACAGGCTGCGGTGGGCATTTCCTGTAGAGATACCACAACGCGCCTACTCCTCCCACAATCCCAAACGCCGCGACGACCGCTATCCACACGTCCAAGAAGCACGGAGTGAAGTCATATCGTATGGGGCTGATTGGGCCCCAGCCCTCGCTATTACCGCATAATGGCTGGCGGTGATGCTTCGAGGCCGTCAGATAGCCGTGCGCAAGCGGTATGCTGGGGAGGAAGGGCGTCTGTTGTTGGCCCTGCATCGATCGGATGGTGCTTGTGATTGCCGGGGCTCTGGCTATCGCAGAGTCTGGGCAGATCAGGACGTCGAAGGCGGCGAGAAGGTGTCTAGGCGGTTGCGACGCGAGGGCACTTTTGACATGAGAGCTCGGGCCGTCGGTATGATATAATCATTGCTGCTTACTAGCCCTACTCCCGATAACGCCGCGGGCTACCCAACCGACTAACCCCCAGTATGTGGTAATAGACTATGCCACGATACCGATGATCCGACTGAGCGCAGCGTAGTCGAGCCTACACCGGAGTACAGCATAGAGGCTGTGTGGCTGCCTCGTGGACCATGGGCGCATGCGACACTGCTGAAAACGTCGCGAACCGATGGGCCGGTCTTTGTCCGATCACCATCCCGGCGAACAGGTTCGCAGCTGCCTCCCAAGATCAGAACACCACATCACGTGCGCGACCATCTCGAATTGCGCGCAACATCAATCCATCATCGCATCGATCTTTGATGTTCATTGTCGGTCACAGGCAATAGTTGTAGTACTGGCGGTGTAAGGTGGGAAAAAGAAAGGTGGCGGGACGCGTGCTGCCGACCGTGCTACTCAGCGGCCTCTGCTTCGCAACCACTTCATCACCAACAATCCAAGCGAGCCTTGAATTTAAGAGATGAAAATATGGAAGAACTCTGGTCAGCGAATAGGGCTTCCCTCAACGTACGAATTAGACTCTCCACGCACTGCGCCCACTCCACCCGAACCAGTAGTCCAGGTACCGCCATCTAAAAGTCTCGAAGCCAACAGTCGTCTACAACATATCGCAGGCCTATATAATCTAGCAGCTAGTAGCAGCAACGAATAAAGAAGCGTGCAGATGGCACCGCTGACATGTCCAGTTCAGTTCCTTGGTTCCGCCGACAAAGGCCCACTTAGCGACACCACATGCATGCTGCATGTCAAAATCAGCAACCACTCAACACCAAGGCCCCACGACCCACACCCCCGGCTTGGAACACGATACCACGCTGATAGCACCGTCTTCTGGTGTTTCCCATTGTTCGTTGGGTGCCAGGCCGCCCGCTGGGTATATATGCTCCGCCAACCACCCGTTTCTTCACATACGACCATAGGATCATGAAAATTAGGCTTCCCGTCCGCTCAGCCATATACAAGCATGATACCGGTGCATTAGTACTCGGGTGGGTGACCACCGGGGAATACGCGCTGTTGTATGTTTTTGCACTTTTTTGCCCTTGGGTTCGACAATCCAGAGGCGACCTTGAGACAGCGAGCCAACCGCCCAGGAACATGACCGGTAGTCTCTACTACCCTTCGAGAGCGTTGCCACTTGTTCACAATGGGCCCTTTTTACTTTTAACAGCTCTGACAGCAACCCTTTTAACCTGACCATAACAGTACACGATGGAAGCTCTGTCCAACCCAGGTATCCTGCGCGTGTACAGCGCTGCATCGAATAGCGAGCTTTCGGAAACTTGCGCTTTTTACAGTATGGTTTCTCGCGTTCTGAATTCGAAAGTGCGGATCTTCTTTCATTTTATTGTCTTCGACACCTCCGGATTAACCACGTCATCAGAGGCCCTGATTAACCCATGACTCATGGCAGCAGTGACGAGAACACTCCCCGAGACGCCTGCTAGCATTGCATCGCAAGTTCGCGTGAGGTTTTTGAGACAGCGCGAACTCTAGGCACCCGCGGGGTCCAGTCTAGGATGAGTAACACGGACCTTGTAGGGCTTCTTCCCTGCACTCGAGACTTGTTGTGCAACCCGAAAGTGGAAAAGAAGGGATTTTTGTGTGGCGACTCTCGCCGTATCCAGCTCAATGAAGGCGTTTTGCGCACTTGGCTTAGACTCTTCGCTCCCTTTATAAACACTCTTTTTCTCTCGTGTTGTAAGTCCAGCTGATAACGTACAGTCAAAAGCGTTTCCGACTCACCAGAAGCCTGTCGCACATCCCGATACTAAGCCTCACTGTTTGCTATTACCCTTACATATCTTCCTGGAAGTCAAGGAAATCTCTTCAACGGTCATTAGGCCCAGAAGCTCCCTTCTGAGCTCGTACCCTCCAGCCCATCCTTGACGGCGAAACCACAACGTCATTGCTACTGGCGATATCTCATCTCGAACCCCAGATCAGACGCCCCTCCACCACATTTCTGCAGATTACAGCGAATCAAATTCGTCCGTATCACTGCGCATACGCATTCCAACCTCGATGTCTCCTTCCAACACACCAGGACGACTTCCAGAGATAGCCAGCAGTTGTGGCTCCGAGCCAGTCAGACCACTACGTCGGAAGCCTCTGCATGCAACCAGCTCCAACTACAACAAACGTCAGAATGGAAATTTCCACAATCGCCACTCTGATTGCCAACCGGGCGCGGGCGATGTGTCTCTCGATCACCTCATATATCCCGACGAGGACGTGGGCTATGGACCAGTTCTTCGTTCGCATCGCACAGCTCACCAAGCTCGAGAAGACACTTGTTTCATACCAAAGCACCGAGACTCGCAATCTGATGAGGAATTTACACCTTTGTCCAAGGAATCATCTCTACCTGACATGGACCCCGTCAATCACTTCGAGACTATCTCTGCAGGTCCTGATGCACTCGCTGCACTCCGAAAGCACATTTCGGCCGGTCTCCTTGCGAGGCTTCCCGATCTGAGCGACATGGAGTTCTCAAGACATAGCAAGCCATCGTCTATCGCGAATTTGCGCTTGGTAGTTGGTACCTACACAGACAGATCCATCAAGAAGTGGGGCAACCCTGTGTATGCGTACCTCAGTCCGAATGCGAATTCCTCAATCGGTCCCAAGTTCATTATGGAGGTCGATGAAAGACACGGATATGGAAGACATGACGTTGTGGAAGTTACATGGTATGAGGCCATATTTGAGCAGAGGGTCGCAGCCAAACCTCCCTTCAAACAAGCCGCAACAAAAGACGAACTGTATGCCGTGGTTAAGTACTACTTCCTGTTGGCGGTGGAGGCGGGAGTGGAGAACTTTCACCATGACTTCATCCCATTGAACAGGTCCTTCGTCCAGCACCTGAGCAGCTTATGCCTGCATTACGTACCAGATCTTCGGACACCGACGCATTCCACTGAGGGATATACATACGATGAGGAGCCACCCCCACGATATCCCACCAAGTTCGATCGACGGCGTCCCCCGGGTTATGAGAAAGAGCTGGGTGTAGCAAAGGTCCATCAGTTTCCGCAGGTCAGCATCGACGCATCCGAATTTGACCCAGGCAAGAGCGACAATAGCAATGCAGACGGCGAGTCTGCCAGTCTGCAACAGTCAAGATATGAGAAGCAAGCTTCTCGAATGCCAGACATCGCAGCCGAGCCATCTTCGCGCATCTCAGCTCGACCACGGCGCAAGCCTATCACAGCCTTCTTAAGCAACTTTCGATCAGCCCCACCACGTCCCCTCAATCGGGGCGAAGAAGCTTTAGTTCGCGGCTCGGCTTCCCCGCGCAACGCCATCTCTTCGTGGTTAAAAACAATGGCTGAAGAGCTAAACCTGCATCCAGATGCTCTACCTCCCAAGGCGCGATCAGGAAAAAGGCGGGAGTTGAAGACCAACAAATCCATGTCGGATGAAATCGACTGGCCGCTGCGAGGATCGTCGCCGCAAAGCTCGGTGTCCTCTGGTTACAAAGACATGGACCATTTCTCGAACCGCGACCGGAGCAGCTTGTGGAGTGGTACAGCCAACTCCATTTACTCGTTCCCGGATCAACACGCCTCGAAGCCCGCCGGAGACTGCGCGAGGTTGACGCACATCGCGATGACAGAGCCACTCCCTGATAAACATCGGCAGGATGTAGAGTGGAGAGCGTTCCGTACTGCGACTGCTTCTCTTCCGGGAGTCGATATAGATCGTCGTGAGCGCCGCACATCGAGGAAAGCAGAGCGGTCTCGCAACCCGATCGCCAACTGCCGTTCTAGCTCGACGTTCGGTCGGGCCGTGTCGCCTTCCCTGCTTCAGCGTCAAAAGAAGGTCATTGACAGTCGCGTTGAAAAGACACTTCATGATATCGAGGATCACTACATTCGACTGAAGAAACTTCGCCAGCTTCAAGTAAGTATCAAGGCGGAGATAGTAGAAGCGAAGCGCCGTGAAGAGAAGGAAAACCGGTTTGAAGACGAGGAGATGATGCACCAGAAGGAGGGGGAGGAGGGCGCTGACGATAGCAACAAGGTGAGATTTGAGAAATGGTCGAAGAGGCAAGAGTATCCATACGGGAAGAGAGGCTACTAGGTCGATGTAACGGAAGAAGGGCTAAGGTCAAGATGGCAGATGGTATTGAATGTCGCGCGAGAATAGGTGACACGGTCGTGGTCTTTTCATTTCCTGGACGTCAGTGTGTTTGTTGTGATATGGTGACTGTAGCGACGGAGCAGCAGGGATACAAACACTTTCATGATAGCCATGCGAGAAGTAGTAGCTTGACGCGCGCTCATACTCCTTTTGCTCAACTCAGCGCGTCCACGTCAAGCGTTTACTGTCAAGGTAGACTCTGGTAGGGTCCAAGCTCCATGTAAACATAGCGCGCAATCTAGACTAATCTAGTCAGCTCTTGTTGCAGCATGAATGTACTCGCGCACACAAACTAATCAATAGACGCGTTTGTTGCAGTCTCCAAACACTACTTAATCAGATCAATTCAGCAGGGAAAGGTGGAACGTACTTAGGTATAATCATCCACTCCCAAGACATGACTGTAGCCAAAGACAACCTAGCCGAAATTCAAACGCTGGGCGCTCAGCTCGACTACGCGCCCTACGACGAGGTAGTCACGTCTCCACAGACCTATGACCCTGGCGCCGTCTCCTTCAAAATACACTTCGGTCATATCATCGACGAGCAAAGCAAGACGCAGCAAGAAGTTTGGGTACTTCTCTATCCACCCATCAACGAAAAAGCACATGCTGGAGTTCAGTTTCACTCATCTCATCCCGATACGGGGGCTTTGGTCAAGTATGACGAGAGCAACATCAGCACTACGGTCTCCGCACTCGCCAAAGCGTTCCGCAACCCCAAGAAAGCGACGAAGGGCAAACACGCGGCATTGGCGAAGTACTACTATCTGATGGCTCTCGCTGCGGAGGAGACAGAGACAGGACGCGCTAGTGAGCTGAAGATACCTATACCGATAAATCAGACGCTTTCGGAAAACTTGAAAGTCGTTTGCCGCGAGTTCAAGGAGGAAGCAAAAGAACCACAGTCAGACACAATCGGGGACGGTGATAGTAGCGATCTCAGCGATCCACCAGATGACCCTCTTAAGCCTACTCAGCAGCCAGTAGAGTCGGTCTCAATAGTCACTCCGAATCCTTTTCATATCCCCGTAAGCAGGCTAAGATACCTTGAACTTGTACTAGTACTAACTTTTCTAGACTTCGAATTCCCAGCAGGCTGATGCTCTCCGCGCGGCTATCGACGAGGAAATCCAGCTCCAGAGTTCCAACAACGATCTAGTAAACGAGAAAACTGAGTTAGAGGCTGCGCGCCAAGAGATCGCAGGAAAACTTCAGCAGGTGGAAAGAGCACTTCAGCAGACGGAGCAGCAGCTCCAGGCCAATGACGAAGAAAGGGCATCGATCGAGATTCGCCGGGGACAGGTATTGGAAGGGATGAGTGCTGCGGACGCGTTTGAGCTGGGTAGATCGATGGAGCGTGAAGTGAAGCGTCGGAAGCTCGATTGATGTCCCAGAAAGAAGGACTCGTCATCCTGTTTTGTTAGCGATACGCTTGAATACCTGGGGAGCATAGTTTACCCAGAAGGCTACGTAGCGCTTTACTTGTATAATTTGTAACATACAATGTATTGCATGCTTGTAAGATACCAATTCATCCATGGTCAAAAGATAGACAGGAAAAATATTCCTCGTTGCAACGTTGACCCAACTGATAGCAGAAGAATGATCCGGCGGTAGTGAATGGTTCAGAAGCGACTAATACGCTCTTGTGACTAGCGTATCCCTCCGAGTATATGACCGCTTCTCTTGACCACTGCAGTAGGCGCTCCTTCCGCTTTTGCACCATTTGCTCTATCTATCCCGAGACTCCAAAGCCGCGGGCCATTGTGACTCTCACCACCATGTCCGCCCCATCCCCCCAACCCGACGACAGCCCTTCCTACGCCAAACTCAAGCGCGACCTTGGCGACGACGCGCCTCTCCTCAACTTTCTCCCCTACAAGCGCGCCACTTTCGAGCCGCAAAACGAGATCGCCGAAGCAGCGCCCGAGCGACTCCTCTATGGCGACATGATGGAGAGCAAGGGTTCGCTCTGGATCTACTGGACCCTCAACTACCACAACAAGAAGAAGAGCCACCACGACTACCGGATGATAACCTTCCAGACCATCGAAGGCGCCAAAAGCCATGAGGCGGGAGTGCGTCCGGGCTCAGTCCAGACTGTCGCATTAGCTTCAGCGCCTTTCAAGCATGCGAAAGACCAGGATGCGGTCGCAGCTATCGCGAAGTATTTCTTTATCCGTAGAGGTATCGATATGCAACTGCAGTATCCGGTGTCGTCTGGCCCGTTCAAGGAGGCCCTTATGCGCGTGTGTCAGCATTACAAAGCCATATACAACGAGACGCAAGCCAATAAGGCAGCAAGCCGGCGTTCATCGGTCATGCCTACTGGAGGTCGCGATCAGAGTGTTGTTTCGCAATTCCAAGACGCACGAGAACCTTCGTATGCAGCTTCGTTAGCGCCTTCAAGACCGGTATCGCGCGCGCCGTCCCGTCCTAAGAGCATGCGCAATATTGACACTCGTAAGAGCCGGCACAGTTCAGGCTCAAATCTCGACCCTCAGCCTGAGACAGAAAAGCGCAGCGCTCCTCGCGAGGGATCTAGCAACTTCTCATCCTATTCCCGACCACCTTCCCCGTTCCTCGCGTCGGTTCAGCCTTCCCTTCACGAGCGCCCTGAAGATGAAGAGATGCAAGACCTTTCCCTTAGTAACAACAACGAAGCAGATCAAGTACAACCAGCCGACGGCGCGCGTCCGGACGACATCGACCGCGAGACGATGATGGATCAATATATTGCGCTCAAAGCCAGGGAAGAAGATCTTGACAGTAGAATCAGCGACATGGAGACGGAGCGTGTACGTATTGCGGACCAAGTAGCGGGGCTACAAGCGGACATCAACACGATTGGCAACCGACAGGGCGACTTAAAAGAAGAGAAAGATCGCGTGCGAGCGGAGAAGAAGCAGCTGCAGATTCAGCTGGATAAAGATGAGCATCTGGACTTTGGGTTTGAAGCTGGACGGAGGATGGAGACTAAGCGTCAACGGCGGGAGTAGTCTCCGGAAGGCACGGACCTACCCCCGACGCACTGCTTGGAGGTGCTGATAGTTGCATGTTTGATGGTTGGTTAGAGAAATGGCGGGGTTAGATCCTGCGTTCTTTTCGCATGACCTGGGAGGAGCAAGGGATGACTAGCTGCAGATGGACGTGGCCCGAGGAGGATACCCAGGTAGCTCAAGTTACCAGTAGAGGCGGATTGATGGTGTGTACAGAAGTCCACGGGTAGAACTGGCAACAGATGGACTCTCTACAACATTCTTAATGCTTTGATTCAAATTAATTGGCAACATGTCGATGGAAAGGGGGAGAAACTGAAGGAGCTGTGAATTGAGTTTCAGGATTCCGAAGTCAGCTAGTGGCCCCCGCAAGTTGGATGACGCATGACGTAATCAGTAAATGCGCCAACGGTAAAACTCTTGGCTCCTCAACGTAAATTCGCGTCGCGTCCTTCCCTCGCGAGCGATTACCACCTCGACCCGCTTCCAGTGTGTACGAAGAATTTTAACCTGGGACGTATCGATACCTTGTGGCCCACGTGCGATTAAGTTCATGCAAACCACGTCACGCATTTCCGAGCAGCTGTGAACGACCCACATCTCGCCAAGGGAAAAGCGGTCTGAACAACGATTGACACGATCTCTATTTTGTACTTCCCAATATTTTTCATAGTACTCGAAGCTTTGATATCAAGACAACATCATATTCCAATCCTCGCACACGCATCCCGTACTTGTCCAGAGCCCGTATAGCCTTTCCCAGCCCAACAAACAAACTATGGACTCTTCCGACGGCTTCTCATTCAATGATCTCAATTGGATGAGACAAAACGAGATACCAAACACTGTGAAGACAGCGCTACTATATGGCGAGATCCGTGGAACGGGAGAGAAAGCTGATGTCTGGATCTACTTGGACAAGGCCACGACGTCCCTCATCTGGCAGATCTACTACCCCGAGGGTAACGCCAAGCCTCAAGTCATCACCGTTGAAGAGGCTCTGGAGAAAGCGAAACCCTGTGCCTGGTTCAAGCTTGCCACAACCCCGGAGAAGCTGGAGGCCTTGGCCACATACTACTTCGCGAGAAAGAAGTTGACGAAGAGATACCAACCGAAACTCACGTTTGAACAAAACCGACTGCTCAAAGCCATGCTCGGTAGTGAGGCCCCATCTAAGATCGTCAAACTACGAGTTCGTGTTCCCGAACATCTTGGTCGAGAACAATCACCAGAAGCTCTGGTTGAACCTCAACAACCTTCAGAGGTCTTTCCAAGTCAAAGAGCCCGCTCAAAGTCAACAATATCAGTCCATCAGCTACCCTCGCCATGCAGCACTACCGACTACGACGCAAAGGTATGTTACGAAGGATGCAGCTGTAACAAACGTTATCTAACAGCATGCAGCGCGATGACGAATCACGAAGATTGAGTGGTGCAACTTTGATCGAACCACTCGACCCAATCGACCGCTACTTTGATCTCGAAGACCGAATGGAGACCGCCTGCACCAACATAAAGCGCCATAACAACCGAATAGAGGACCTAAAGCGGAAGAGGTCGGAGATTGAGAAAGAGATCAATATGGAGGCGGAAGCTGTAGAGTTGCTCATCGCTGAGAGACATCAAGCCAAGGTCGCGAAGGACCGACTTTGGAATGTGTTGTCAAGGGAAGAGGCCTACGAGCTGGGTCGCCTCGACACCGCAAGAAAGATTGCCAGACTCGATTGAGCTCAAAGCCGATTCATGGCCTGATGTCGACGTACTGCCATCTTTTGGAACGAACGATTTGGATGGAAGTGGACGCATCGCTTTACGAGTAGTCACGCAAGCCAGCCTACGACGACTTGTCGCCCAGACAGGAACTTCCATCATCTGCGATTGATACCCAGGCGCGAAGAACATCGCAATGCCGGCCACCAATTCTCTCAGACTTCACTTCGGGACTTCGTCTATTCACGCAAATCTCGTCGCGTGGGTATCATTTGAGTTGCGGACGTCGTGGCTGGCACGTCCGTCCCTACGTAACATTGCAGTACTAGTGGACGGCAGCCAAACCATCACATTGCCCAGGTGCGCACTCATGCGAGTCACGGGAAGCAACGCGTATAAGACTACTCGACCACACTCTATCCTCGTCATTACACACCACTACCCTCGCTGCCGAAACGAAACCCTGCACCGACAGGCAGCGTGAAACTCGCTTTATGACGAGGACCAACAACCGAATAGGCCGGAGCATCGCGCTATCAACAAATTTCTCCTTAGACGTCATTGAGGCGTCACAATACCCATATACTCCTCATGATTGACAAGCATCGAATAGCGAAATGCGAAGTCGCGGAGTAAGCATGCAGTTGGGCTGCATGGCAATACTCAGCGACGCGAAGCCAGGATCTGCGCTTCAAATACCAAGCAGACCTACTAGTCCAGACCTTTGGAAGCCTCATGGTAGGAGCTGGAGGAGGAGTTTGAAGATGGAACGCGAGCGTTGTGGCGCTGTAGTTTGGATGCATGAATGATGTGGGACAGTCTTGGAGCATACTGCCGTGTGGAATACAATACGATAGCTACGTGATTACAGCAACCCGCAGAGTCTTTGTAGTCTGCAAACGACATACTGATCGTACTGGTACTGTCGCTGCTATCGCGATGCCAAGAAAGTCCCCCTCCAAGCTATCAACGCCGTACTAAGCACAGCGTAAACTAGTCTTCCTCGCTGCTGTCGGTCTCAGACGTTGCACCCTTCCTCCCCCACTTCGAAGCTCTCATCATCGTCTCACCTCCAAGATTGAAGATTTCGCGCTCCTTCGGGGGGAGTGACAACCAAAGGTGCTTCATCTCGACTCCAATGCGCCGGTCCTCTTCTTTCAACTCCCGATCCTCCACCTGCATGTCGGCTAGCTGAGTCTCAAGAGCTTTGATCTCATCGCGCACATCCACCTGCTTCTCCTTGTTGATCACGATGTTTTCCTTGCACCTGGTCTTCTTGTCGAGGGCTTCGCGATAGGCATCAGCGAAGTCAATGGACGACTGAGAGTTGGGGCTCTTCTCGACCTGGCAGCCTGTTAGTATATGAAGTATTCTAGATGATCAGGTGAAACTTACAAGTGCCTCTGTAGACTCCCGGCGTGTTGACGAGGTACGCGAAGTATCCATAGCGTCACTGTTGACTGCCTCAACGGGGTCCGAGTGGATGAGGAAACCTTGGCCTTTGTTGACCATCTGTGAGGACGAGGGTTGTACTGTAACCGCTGAAGGAGTCGATCGCGGTGGCGGTGTGCTCGTAGTCACTCGCTTCCTGGGTAGATCTGGGGTCATGGTGCGAGCCCTCTTGAGAGAATCGCCTTCGGGGATAAACAAGCTCGGTTCTTTCGGTACTGCGGGAATCACAGAGGCCACAGGAGCGCGCTGTGGGGTAGGTTGAGGAGTGCGTCTAGCTTTAGCCAGTTTGACTGGAGGGCTGACCGCTGCAGGCTGGCCGTTCACCTTCACCACCGAGCCAGCTCTTGCTCCAGACTGAGAAACCGAACGCTTGGCACCATCCACGTTCTGAGCGGCCGAAACGCGCGTCCTCACCACTGAACCATCTGCTTCTGTCACAGGCTTAGAGACAGAGGGCTTGATACCGTACGCGTTCTGCGCGGTGGAGGCGCGTGACTTCTCCTTCTCACTGTTCGCAGCCATCTTTACAGCGTACTCTCCAGCCGTCTTGCATGCCGCAGTCAGCGAATTGATGAAGTAATCACCGACTATCCATGGCACTGGTTTATTAACTCCCTTGAAGATGAAGTAGTACTTGATCACCGCGCGTAGCTGATCCGGGTCGATAACGCCCGCTTTCTTGAAGCATTTGAACGCAGCTGCCGCATGAGTGTGCCTGAAGAGGTCAGTACGTGTTCTACATTAGCTCATACAGCAGGAATGACTAACTTCACCGCTTCCTCCGCGCTCATAGCCCCCCGGAGCTTGTCGAGACGGTCGAAGATGTTGAAGCGTTGGTCGGGGGATCGGCCATCGGGGTGATCGTTCTGTAGCAGAATCCACACCTCGCAATCTTTGTCCTTCCCGTCCTTGATGGTACCGAAGAACATACGAAACGGCATCTTATTCGGACGCTCACTCTTGTGGTCATCGAATGCAGCGAGCCGAACCTTGGCGACAGGGAGATGATGGAGAAGTGGGACACGGGCTTGGGTTGCGGCAAGGGCCGTGTCGGCCGCACCTATTTGGTTCTCCATAGTCATTGGGACCAGTGCTGAGATTGAAGCAGGTGCTTTCGGTGTAAGGTAGCTGAGTTGGTTGTCGCGTCTGGTTTTGTGTTGATCCCGGCGTTTGCATTGTATCGATGGGGTTAGCGTGGCTCTAGCGCGCTTTCGATGGAGAAGGCGTAGCCTAGCCATGAGGTACGCAGGAGGTATTCGGTGTATTTTATTTGAGCCTTTGTTTCTGTAGACGACATTGAATACCTCCTGGGTACAGTTCACGCTGGTGCAACTCTGCGAACATACTCTATCAGTACCTGAGTACCTAGGAGCTTTCCATTACCACACACACCGTTGAGCATGTCGCAGTCAGCGCATCAGCGCTGTGAGGTCTCCGGATTAGATGTGTGACGACCCATCTGCTACGGAGTTTGTAGGCCTGATCTGTGCGTCGATTGTACCACTAGCGTTCAGTCGGCTCTGATTTTGCATTTGCTCTCGCCTTCCCAGATATCAAAGTTCAACAATAGTACTGTGTCGCCTGTCAATGACAACTGAAAAGGAGACTCAAGCGGTACTGCCCTTACGATGGCAACGCTGCATCAACAAACTGAACGCCACGCTAGTGCGCCGCGGCTTGTTCACAGTCATAGAGGAAGTGCTCTCTCCTGCTACACCCACATTCGACCAGGCAATTATACAGGGACGCAAAGCTTTGAAAGCCCCACTCGGGGACCGGAAGCAGAGTGATGGTATAACAGTTCCCGTGTGGGCGTACATACTCCTCGATAGCAATGGAAGTGAGCCATCGATCGTGTTTCGCGACGAGGTGCAGGTTCATTCGAACCGCGCGGAAACGGCTCAACTATACCCGCGATCTGCTTCGTCCTTACTGCGGAAAGCGAGCCATCTCAAATCGCCTTTCTGTCTCCTACATCAAGAAACAGATGAAGGTGTCAAGGATGGGCGCGGTATGCTATGCGCAGTCATCGCCTACTATGCGCTTATAGCGGGTTTGAGCGACTGCGCTATCCGATGGCGTCGGTTTGACGCCTGTATGATTGCCGCCCTGGATTATATCAACATTACCCTGAAATGGATGAGCGAAATACAGCATGCGCCGACGCCCAGCACAGCGACAGCCATGAGACCTTCACTCATCGTGAGACTCCCGATAGGTCGAGAGGCTCTTGCAAAGATAACTGGAGTTTTCCATGGCTTCGGAGTTCCAGACAGCGAGGACGAAGAAGATATCATGCTTCCTAATGAAGTCTTCCAAGAGCAGCCAGATATCTCAAACCCCACGCACCAATCCGCAGTCCCCGTTCCAGAAGAGGTACCAGACACCATCGACAGCGTCTTCGGAGACGACGTGGCCGGCGTCGCAGAAGAAGTCGACAGCGTCATCGGGGATGCCAACGACAGTATCATTGTTGCAAACAGCAGATCCCAAGTACACGGAAACGAGCAAGTATGCTATGGTTCGTTAACGATCAGGAAGCGCAAGCTGGAGGATATCACGGCAGGAAGCGATGGCGACGTGGTCGAAGAGATGGATGGGTACGGTTGGCGGCAAGCGTCTTGGGGTCGATTGCGAAGGCGGTAGGGTGGTTATATTTGAGGAAGCAATAGCATGATACTTTTTGGAAGGTCACATTGTACAGTAGAGTGTTGAGGTATCGTCACTTCGAAGTCAGGATGGCAGCGGCGAAGGCCGGTTATTACGTTTCCCGCCCGAGGTTTCGCCGACAGCTGGAGCTAATCCTTTCACAAGCTAGCGCAATCTGAGGAATTTCCACAATTCTGCACGCATCCTCCATCGATAACTAAAGCTCACTCCTCTCACCAGACGTCTCTCTACGCCCTTTCTCGTTCCCCTCCAGCGCCGCCACTGCCTCATTACTTGCCTTCAAATGCTCAAACTTCGGTGCATCTTCTCCCAATCCCCATGCAAACACACCACCAAGCCCCTTGTCCTTCATGATGATCTGCATCTTGCGCTCAATAGCCTCAGGCGTATCCCAGGTCCAGAACAAGTTCTCCTCGGCATCCCAGTAGTACTGTCCACCACCCACCTCGTCATACATACCATTCTCCATCGCACGCTCGTACGATACGGAGAGATCCTCGGGAACAGCGTCGTGCCATGAGAACGCGCCGGCTTTACCTAGATCAGTGCCTGTAACAGGGTCTTCCATGAGTTCTGTCGCACAGCCGATGGGGTTGACACTGCATGTCGAATTGGTAGCGGTCTTGTACCATTTGATGTAGAATGCCAGTCCCAAGTTGGCCTTCTCGGGCGGTACGCCGGCGTCAAGGTATGCATCGATGGCTTCGAGTGAGTTCTGGATACCGGTATGATGCTTTGTCACGTTGTCGCGGCGGTTGAACATGTCGTATGTCATGATGTTTAGATAGTCGACTGACTCCATGATGGCAGGGATGGTAGAAGGCGTGAAGGCTAGCATGTCGCGTGGTAGACCAGGAACGGCTGCTGAGATGGTCTTCTCAGGTCCTACTGCTGAGCGGATTTCTGCCAGTAGCTTGGGGTAAGCAACTATCTCCCAAGCTTTATTGGAGTTGAGATGGCCAGGTGTTTTGTAGTCTTCGCCGTTGCCGCCTGGGTATTCCCAATCCATATCGATACCTTATGAGGTCAGCTTCTTCTTTCATTAGGCCTGTTCGTGTGCGACACACCATCAGCGCCGGTCGCATCGAGCATAGCCTTGACGTTGCTTGCGAATAGCTTCCGGCTTTCTTCTGTTCTGGCGGCTGTGGAGAAGCCATCTGTGTCACCCCATCCGCCAATCGCAACTTGGATGATCGTTCCATCAGCAAATTTGGGGCGAACTTCTTTAATGGTAGTGAAGAGCGGCCATTCATCTTGCTTTGGAGTGTTGAAGGTATCAGAGCGCATGAAGGCGAGGGCCACATCAGTAATGTTCGACACCAGATTTAGCTCCGGCACCACGTTATGTTGCCTGATAACCATCAGCGACGTCGCTTCATGTAGTACTCGCAGGCTTTGGCTTTACCCTGTCAGATACATGATGTACTTCAGCCTCGTCGTGGCCGCTGCAGCAGCGAACGTCCAGGTCATGCAGAGCCATAGCCAAAGTCTAGTAGCCATAGTCGTGATCTTTCTGTACGACGAGACCTTTTCAAAGGAGCACTAAGACGTGTCCAGCCGTGGTATGGTAACGGTGGCTGATGGCAGCGGGTCCCGAAGGTGCCCCGCGACTGACTAAGCCGTTCATGGACTAGCGTCTTTGGTCGACCGTCGTATCAATCCCCGGGGCCAGGTAGTGCCCGGCAGTCGCGTCTCGTCGAAGGTCAACCCGAAAGGCCTCGGCCATCGCAACGGCAAAGCCTACGGCTGCCCTGGACGGAGCTGGATCGGATTTCATGGAGCGTCATGAACTGACAACTGCTTATTGTGGCTTGCCCCGCCGTCACTGGACTGTGGCTGGACATGTTGCGCGCGATTGGTAGGAAGAAGCCAAGAGCTTCAGCCTTCCGGTCAGGATGTCATCCGCGCATTTCATCTTCAGCCTGATCGGTCGGCTCAAGAAAACCTGCTACCTTTCAGCCTACATCCTGGCTCCAACATCTCCTTCACCTTCGCATGAGCGCACATTCACCCGATCGTTGTCAGCATCGCAGCCATGTCCTCGCACCCCACGTCCATCTCCCTATCGCCCTACGAAGCCCTACCCTTGACTTACGGGGAGATACGCGTCCTGGAGGTCGCTGCCGCAAGTGGCGGTGAGATCCTCGAGTGTAACTTGAAACGCATTTCGCTCCTTGGTCATCCCGTGCCATGCTACGAGTCGATATCGTATTGCTGGGGACCTCCGGGAAATCTGTCGACTATAATACTCAATGGGCATCTGGTAGAGGTGCCGGCAAGTTCGGAGGCCGCTGTTAGGCGCATGCGACTCAGCGACCGACCGCGAGTACTTTGGATCGATGCGATATGTATCGATCAGTCATCTACGACCGAACGTAGCGCCCAAGTAGCTTTCATGGCGACTGTATACAGCACCGCGAAGCATAATCTCGTTTACCTTGGCGAAGATGACGACGACATGGCTGAGAGAGCCATGAAGGCTCTTGGGGACGTTGTGGATGACATGCGCCCCGCGACTGCAGACTTCACCCTAGTGTGGGAAACCATGCGCAATGAGAATTGGGGCACTGCTTCATACTCAAACGAACCGTTTAGCGCGAATGTTGACTTCGAAGCTCTTGAAGCTCTTTTCAGTCACCACTGGTTCAGGTAAGACTGTACGCCGATTATCTCACGTCGAGTTGAACTCAGCGATTACAGGCGTCTGTGGGTGCTTCAAGAAGCGGTTCTTGCATCATCTAATACCTGTCATTGGGGCACTTATAATCTCGATTTTCTCGATACAGTACGAGCTGCAATATGGCTCGCATACAAATATCGATTCATTCCTAATAGTCTTTGCAATCGCGTTGGCCTGCGCTGTTCCATCGAGATGTTCGAGATCCTCAACCCCGACCGTCGTAATGCTTCGATGTGCAGATATCTAGGCGATATGTTCGTGACCATTCGACAATTCGAAAAGACCGAGCCAAAAGACAGCATCTTTGCCATTTTGGGCTTACTGGACAAAGACACGTCTCTAAAAAGCGGTCAAGCAGCATTACTTGAGGTTGACTATGCAAAATCGCTTTCTAGCGTATTACGAGATGCTACACGGTATTCTCTGTGTCAAAGAGGTGATCTATACGCTTTTGACCTGATCAATCACCACTTCGATGTGTTAGCCGATTCCCAATCGTTTCCGACATGGGCCATTCGCGTAGATCTACAACGAGAAGCTAGCGACGCTGTAGAGCTACCCGATTATTTCAATGCTAGTGGCGGTCTCGAGGCGCCATCTTTGCTTGATGATATTTCTCTTGGCGCAGAAGTGCTGCTTCTCCAAGGAATGATGGTCGATGAAGTATGTCAAACGACCGCCACGTGCCTAGGAAGTACCTATAATAGCGATGAAAAGTTACACGAGTGGCTGATCTCAGTCAAGGACATAGTCATGAGCCATTGCAACGTCGCGAGTCGGGAAGAGCTCTATTTGGCCACGGCTTTTGCTCTTGTGGCTGCACAAACCCGGGGTGGAGGACGCGCACAGTCGAGTGATCTACAGGGTCTTCTAGATTATCTCAAGAGCTTGACCCCGGACGATAATGATGAAGCCTCAGATGGCGACAGGATCACGAAAGGTTTTGACTCGGGAAAGATGAACTCAATGCGTAAAGCTTCTTTCATGAGATATTGTGCACACCGCCGTTTCTTCGTTACCGGGGCTAGGCACGTGGGTATAGGACCTCGTTGCATGCAACCCGGAGATGTCGTTGTAGTCCTAAGACGAGGCAAATGGCCCTTCATTATGCGAAAGAAAGGCGATGATTATTGGTTACTTGGTGCGGCGTACGTACATGGCATTATGGACGGCGAAGCGGTGCAGTTACACAAGGCTCGGGGCGGATCAGAGAAGGTGTTTCATGTACGATGAAGAAGACGTCTTTCGGCAAGCAGAATATGGCAAGATGCAGCTCTGGTGAGATTGAGTGACAGAGTGACGGAGTGTGCGAATAGCCCTGCTTCTTCGAGAGCCACGCGGTCTTCATGGCACACGCTTACTGCGATGCCAAACCAAAAGCTTAAAGCTCAGAGCGCGGAGTTGAATCCAGAGGGACTCAGGTGGCTAAGTCTTGGTCGAAGCAGTGCGAAGGAAGGAAGTTGGATGACGACCACCGTTACCGAGTATCCATCTCCCTCACGAGAAGACCATCCAGGCCCAAGCGCGGAAGACAGGAGAAGACCTTTGATGGCGCTTCTCCCTCCGAGATCCGATCCAAGTACTAAAAAAAGAGCGTAAACATTCAACAGCGGGGATGCCCCAGTGCTTACCCACCCAAGTACGAAATACGCCGGTACGATGCCGGGCTTTCAAGATTTTGCATTGACGATATTCTCGAAACGTTCGTCCAAGCACTACAGGAATACTGCCAGCAGCTGCTGGAACCCACCTTTACGAGCGAAAGTAACATCGTCTTGCGATCATCCATCGTATTCGACTGGCGGCGACTACATCTGTCTCCCAATGCGAATGTCTACACCGTTAGTTTCCAAGGGCATATCCTCGGCATGAATGTTTTCTGAAGACGGCATTGCTGTGTCTATTTCGAGCGCATGCCGGCCGAGGCCGCCACCAATCAGAAATCGATCAGGGGCTGCGCTTTCCTTCTTTCGGTTACCTGCCAAGGACTTCGGCCCTATGCCGTGGCAATTATGCGTCATTTCCGCCCAAAACCTTCTAGCCGGTCATGGGAGGGGGCGCGCCACAGCCGGTGCTTGCCATTGCGCAGGGTCACAAAACTGGGGATACGATAATTACCCGACTGAATGAAGTCATAGCGTTGCACTTTGGTGGTCGGCGCCCAGTGTGGACACCCTTCAGCCTCGTTGAGGACAGGCATGATGTACGACAAGGGGAGCAAATACGAGATTGCATTTGGATATAAGAGAGATGGGATGCTGCTCTCTCTAAGTTATCATCCAAACATCATCTCACCAACTCTACACTAATACTTAATCACCAAAACTACCACTCCTACACTCCAACAACACCACCTCAAAGTATCAACATGAAGTTCACCGCCGCCGCCGCCATCGCCTCCATGGCCGCCATCTCCTCCGCCCTTCCCCAGGCGTCCGTCTTCCCTCGCCCCGAAGCCGGCGACATCTTCCGCCTGATGTCCCTGCGCTCTGCCACCCCCATCCAGTACGGCAATGTGCAGGCCGCCAACGGCAGCCTCCTCATCAACACCCCATCCGAGAACAACAAGACCTGCGCCGTCAACGGCGACCGCGAGAACGTCACCAACGGCATCAACTACGCCTCCTTCTCGCTCGACGAGGAGACCGGCAGCGTCTACATCTACACCTTCAACCCCCCTCTCCAGCTCTACGTCGACCGCAGCGGCATGGGCCAGGGCAACGTCCGCTACTCCACTGGTGTCCAGCCCATCGGCAAGAACCAGGAGCGCGGCCCCTTCAAGATCAACGACGACGGTGACCTTGTCTTCGCTGCTGGTGGTCTTTCCGGCGACATTGGCTTCCAGGCCTGCCCCGGCGCTGTTGGCGGTGGCTGGAAGATCTGGCTCTCTGGTACCGAGAAGCCTGCTGGCTCTGAGGGATGCACTCCCTTCACCATGAAGGCGCTCAAGGAGGAGACTACCTACAAGTGCCTCTACGCTTAGATGCTAGTTGGTAGATGCTGAGCTGATGGAGATCGTTCGATATTGTATATATTATCATCGCATTTGAGCGTTTGCATAGCTTCTTGTTTATAGACTGATGGAATTGGAAATGATAATGTTCATCCATACATACACTGCACTTCTGCTTACTGTGCTTCGTGATGATCTGGGAGAGTGGCTCGGCGCAACGCACGGCCGGACTCAAACTCAATTACAGTCGGGGCGCTGCTCGGGGTCTCTAAGATTGCACCAGCATGGATGGCAACAACGGCAGGTATAATGGAATGTTTTGCGAGAACATGAGCCTAGCTGCCGGTCTTAATGAGATGTATTGATCTACATTGTAAAGTCAGTTCCCTCTCATCCAAGGATGCCCAAGTAACTCCTTCGCAGTCCACCGATCCTCAGGCCTCCACTGCAACATGCACCTCACAAACCGCAGAAAATCCTCTTTCTTCTCTCCTTCTAGATTCTCTTCTGATTTCTCCAACGTCAAGCCTCGCGGTATAGATATCTCGGCTATCCAATTCCCTTCACCATCGAAGAACTCTTTGCTCCGCGCTCCGCGCTCTAGCAGATCCATCGGCGGCGGACCGAGCATCGCGATTACCTCCGCGAGATGGGCTCTAGTGAGGTAACGCTTTTCGATTGGATCGATGCCGTAAAAGAGGTGCTTGTCCTCGTATAGATCCCAAATCTGTGTGCATCTCAGTCAATGTCTGATTTCGTTGTCGTCAAGCTTGAGACGGTACATACCATCGCTCCCACGTTCCAGATATCAGCTGGATAGCCCCATTCAGTCTTCAGCATAACCTCTGGACAGCGGTAGACGTCTGGTTGCGCGTCGTGGATCTGGGGTTTATCGCCGCGAACTGCAGAGCCGAAGTCTCCAAGGACAACACGACCGTATTCTTTCGGTAATCCAAATTGACGTGTCGCGTAGACTGGCTTACCCTCTACGACTTTGCGAGGCGAGGGAGAGGTCATTTCGGCGTCGACAAAGGCTTTCAAGATGTCCTGATCCTCGATTTCTATGAGGATGTTGTCGGCTTTTATGTCTGCACCCTTGTTAACAGGATTGTGGAAAGACATGTGTTAGGTAGGCCGTACCTGTATGTATGACCTTGGCTTCTGTGTGAAGGTAATCGAGGGCAAGGAACACCTGCGACAACCCAGCTCGTAGCAGCTCGTCCGTGAAACGGTGCGTGGGGTTCCTGTTCAAGAGATCCTTGAAGCTATCCCACATTGGTTTCTGGACAAGACATCGATGATTGCCGCCTTGTCGGGGTATGGTGAACAAGTCGAGGGCTCTCCGGACGTGATTGTATCCTGGATGCGAAGCATTGCCTTTGCTTAAGGTATTATACACGTCGTACTCATCCTGGTGCATTCCCTCTCGTGTGAACACTTTCAAGGTCGTATAGGCATAGCGGCTGGCTTGCTGTCAGTACAGATAGCTAGCATAACGGCCGCATGCTAACTTGCTGTAGATCACGGGCCAGCCAGACAGTGGACGTGACACCGAAACCAAGTTTGCCTACTACTTGGTACTTCGACGCGAAGACATCTCCTATGTTGACAGGATAGTAGACACACCTGTGGAACTCCTCAAGCTGTTCTTCCTCAAACGATACCGCGTCGCTGACGACTTTGAACCCAGATGTCGGAAACTTGAGTTGAGGCCATGGCTGCCTTCGAAAGAGCGACTTCGCGAGTTTGAACATGACAAGATGAAAAGCATGGGCTTAGTTGACCTCTGAGCTCCTCTCCGACCTTGTGGGTTGCTTTGGGGCAAATATCCAAGCAAAAAGAATGCGGTAGGTTGAGGGGTTACGACTGACTGCGATACCGTTATGGTAAGGTTGAGTCGACTTGAGAGCTGTTGGAATCGGAAAGGGCCTCTCGAATGGTAACAAAGACCACCTGTCATGTTCCGGGGCAGTATGCTTGTCGTTCCTGGGGTGCGCCAGGCCATCGGACTTGTTGCAAAAAAATGGCAAAAAGAAGTACAAAAAAATACAACAGCGGGGCTACCTAACTACTAATTCGCCAGTATCATGCTTGTATACAGCTGCACCTCATACAAGAAAAAAACTAAATAGGCCTGCAGAGTACATTAAGACAAAGACCTGCAAAGTATGTAGCCTAACATTAACGTAGGCTCTAGGGTGTTGAGCTTTCTCCACAGGTCGGCGTGGCTGAGCGGACGGGAGGCCGGTGCGGGGTGGAAGTGGGATGTACCGTGGATGATGACGTGTTTCAGCTCAACCAACCAGCGGCTTCTCAGCGACAATGACGACCAGGACAGAACACAATGTATGACGATGCAATGATGCAATGATGAGTTATCAGGTAGTTGGCGCTGGGAGCGCCGAGCTCATAATCCGTTGAGTGTAAGAGTGATCAATTAAATCTTGGAAGTTTCTAATGCTACCCATTCATCGCCAGAACCCCAAACATCAAGAAGACTATAGACCGAGAAGAAGAAAGAACCCCAAACATGACCGAACAAGACGCCAACCTCAGCTAGCTGGAGTCATATCAGCGTCCTCAAAGGCTCGGAGAAGTCAACCCAACAGGGCTTTCCTGATCAAGTGCCGTTTTATGTGCTTCCCTCGCAATTCCTCCCTCTCTACCACACAGGTAAGCCTCGCCTTCTTCCCAATAAACCTCTCAATGTTACTCTTTTTCTCGAGCTGGAAGAAGTCAAACAGCAGCAAATCGTCCCAGTTAAAGAGGGCGACGTATTTGCACCCGCTTTTGACTGCGTAGGCTGAGATTTGTTTGGTGAATACGTCGCCGTTGCGTCTGAGAAGTCCATCTGGGCTCGAGCCTTTCTCTTCAACCAGCGCCCCCTCAAAATTCCTGTACACTAGGTACTCCTTTCTCTTGAACTCGAGTAGTGCGATCACCCCCCCGCCTTGGCGCTTGAAGAAGACGGCGTCAAAACGCACACCCTTTTGCGCCTTGTCGTTCACCTGATCCTCCTTTTCGATGCTAGGGCTCAGCTCGGTCGTGTAATCGAAGGTGTCTCCGTACTTTTGATTCAAGACCTCGATGATCGGCGCGATGACATACAGGAAGATGGTGTTGCTGATATCGCCTTCAGAGTTCTGACCGAGCTGAGGTAAGGTTGAGATCATCGACCTGGTTCCAAGTTCCGTCCGCTGGAGTTCGTTGAGGATGGCATCGGCTTGCGCTATTAGAGGATCGACTGGGGTGACTTCTAGGGTGCCTGGTGCTTTGGCATCTTTGGTCGTTTTTCCAGATGCCTCGACTGTTCGGTAACGGGCGTTCGGCGAGGGGCTAAGGACTGGGACGTCCTTTCCGAAGCATTCGATCCAGTCAACGAGCTCATTGTAGCACGTGGGATGGTTGGAGATGAGAATTGTTGCTGAAATGTATGGGGGAGAAGTGATGGATGGTGTGAAGGGCTGGGTCGAGTATAGAGAGCTTGGTGAGGGAAGGAGAGCTTGGTGAGGGAAGGAGAGCTTTGTAAGGGAAGGAGAGATTAGTAAGAGAAGGAGAGCCTAGTAAAGGAAGGAGAGCCCGATAAAGGATAGAGGGCTTAGTGAAGGTTGTGTTGTAGATCGGTAGTGTGATTTTAAGGAAACAAGTCAGTATCGAAGCGGGTTTGAGGCGTCTACACTGGCTGCATCTGGGTTGGAGGTGCCTTTGTTGAGATTACGAACTGATTTATTGATAAACTGCCTGGGAAGAATGACAACTATTCAAATTCATCTACCTACCTCTCCACGCTATGACCTTCATGGAATTCAGTAGCTTTCTGCTGACGGTGGCGTGGGAGTGCCGGATTGGCGTTCGCGGAAGGGTCTGGGTCATTGGTGGTTTGCCTTTTCCGAGGGGGCTACTTGCTCAAACGGGGGTTTGGGAGATCGAGGGTGCAGCGTTTGGGGAGTGTGGGGATTGTAATCTCTCTTATTTGATGAGGGGTACCTTTTGCGTATGTGGTGGTTATGTATCTCGGGAGTCATGAGTGGCTTGTCTCGCTCGCAGCAGTGTTCGGGGAAGCCGGGCGCGATTTGGGCAGTGACGATGGGGTCTGTTCGTGATTTGTTGGGAAGGGAAGGGCTTCGAGGATGCAGCGGCCGGCGGGGATTACTTCGCGGCCGATACTGTCGCCGGGGATGAGCCGTGCTGGAGGCCTAGGGGTCAATGACGCACAGCGCCTTTCCTCTTACGTACTAGCTCGTCCCGGCTGCACATGTGCTTTCCGCCTTCTCCATGGCTTGCATCGACACCCTGCCTGCGCCAACTTTATACACGTCACATTGAATTTCGGAAGGTCTCACATCATATATGATTTTAAGTTGCTATAAACACCGCGCACGTACCAGAAGTTGACCTTCCAACAACGCCACCTGCATCTTCCCTCTGACATTCCTTCTGCTCAACGCCAACACCGGCCGCATCAAATCGCAATCAGACGACCGCGATCTCCGCGTGGAGCTTCTCATCCTTTTCCATAGCCGCCGATGCCGCTGCCGGATCTTGCAATGCATGCGGTACTAATTGATCGCCAAACAGCTCGTCCATCTGTTCCAAGGTCTTGCCTTTGGTCTCCGGATAGAAGAACCAATAGCACAAGAAAGCAACAATGTTGAAGCAGAAGAAGACGTAAAAGTACTTAAACTCAATCGTGCTGAGTGCTTGGGGAGAGAACTGGGCGAAGATGAGGTTCACAACCCAGTTTGTAAAAGTCGTGATGGCATTGCCAAGAGCGCGGCATTCGATGGGGAAAATCTCTGCAGGGTAAACCCACGAGATGATGCCAAGAGGCGTATAAAAGAAGGAGAAGAGGAAGTTCATGGCCACCATACTGCGCAGCTGCGCGCCATTGTTGGGGTCGAAGTATTGCCCTTGTACTGCGTTGACGAGAAGAGCAGCCGCTAGGCCCGCTGCCGATATGAGAAGAGGCTTGATACGTCCAAACTTGTCGACCAGTGCCAATCCGATGGTACACCACACGATTGAGAGAGCACCGCTGATACCAATGATCATGAGCGACTCTTGTGTCGATATCCCGAGGATCTCGTAGATGCGCGGGCCGTAGTAGTTGATAACGTTGATACCGGAAAGCGGACCGAATGCTTGCACACCACAACCCAGCAAGAGACGCTTGCGCCAGGAGGCTTTCGTAATGATCGAAAGCCAACTGATATTGCCTAGAGCGCGGTCTGCGATGATGACATCACGGATTTCGCGGAATTCTAGATCGATTGTCTCAGCGTCGTGGCCCCTTCGGAGCTTGTTGAGCGAGGCCATGGCGTCTTCATGTCGATCTTTTTCCATGAGCCAACGAGGAGACTCCTGCAGGAAGAAAATGCCAGCAAGCAAGACGAGACCAGGTACATTCTGGAATGCGAGAGGAAAGCGCCCTGAGACATGTTAGCAGGAAAAGACAGCGACTCGTGTCTAGGTCGACTTACATGAGAATTGAGTGCTGTTGAAGGAGCAGCCATAGCCGAGCCATTGAGCGACGAAGAATCCCCAGCTCAGCATCCACTGCAGCAAACCAGAGAGAGTGCCGCGATACCTTGCCTCGGACAGCTCACCAGCGTACATAGGGATGGTCGAAGTGAGCTGACCTACTGCGACTCCGCCGATGAAGCGACCGATGATGAGCATAGCCATGTTCACAGCCCCTGCTTGGAGAGAACTGCCCAGAATGGAGATGACCGCTCCTACGAAGATAGTCCAGCGACGGCCTAGCATATCCGCGAACAGCATGTTGAAGATGGTCCCGGCGATGGCACCACCTTGAAAGGCGGACACAATACCACCGACAACATCGTCCGAAGGGTCGTTAAAGTACTCTTTGAAGGTAGGAAGAGCGATGGTCGAGGTGATGATACCAGAGTCGTATCCAAAAAGGAAACCTGGGTATAAATCAGTACAGATCTTGTGAGCCAGTGCGCTTGCCAGGTGGAAATTCTACCTCCAGTCGCCAGAAAGATTGCGCTAAAGACCGTGACAGCGACTCCCATCTTGAGCGATGATGTGAGATAGTGTGTGGGGAAGTGGATCTATCGCTATGCGACACCACGGCTTATGTATCAACGGACTGTGGTTCCATTTCGCGTCCCTTGTTACCCCGGACTCTACTGCCCCGAGGCCAGCATTGGCTGACACGCGCATGTGTCCATGCACGAATCATGGAGACTGTACAAGGGGCCTAGAATGCTTGTCACGCTTTACTGCCGTCGCGAAAGCTCGGGCTAGAGGGAACAACAACACGCAACTCGCAAATGTTCCTAGCTAACACATGATGCTGCTCTTTACGTGGTTTCATCAGTACTTCGAATTCCACAGCTTGCAACTACTATCATAAGGTACGATCCCTATGTTGAGCTTTCGCTACGATGCTAGAGGTCGTGCTCGCAGGTAGTCAAAACATCGGAGAAGGATTGTTACGAACGGTAAGGCCCTGCGCTACAGGTCGGGAGTTAAGATCGAGCTGCAGGCCAAGCTGCGATGTCTTGGTGGGGTCCCCGCATTCGCGCTCGGCATCGAATCACATGTCCGGAGGCGAATCTCCACTTCGGGACCACGTCGGGACAAGACCCTGTCAAACTCTCATGTCACGCCTAAGAGGCTATCGGTCGGTGGTCTCGCAGCCAATTCACCCGAAGTTCGCAGCATCTTGTTACGACGCGTACTTTGACTGATGAGTTGAAGATGTAAATGATTAGTTGAACCCTCTCGCAATAACAGCCACCAACCCTCCACCTTTCCGATAACCTATGCTGTACGACATTGTGGTTGCTCAAGCAAGCCGACTTTACGAACGCAAGCCATATCAATTCCGCAATCGCTCAGTATGGTCCTAGAAGTCACGCGATGCGGAATACACGGCTTCCACGAGGCTCTAGGCATCGACACAGACAAAATCCGCTTCTTTTGGGCTCTCCATTCAGATCGCGAAGACAGCCAGCAGATAGCCTATCGCGTTGAAGTCTTCACGACACCAGGATTGTGGGATAAAACGGTATGGAACTCCGGAAAGGTGGAAAGCGATAGGCAACGCAATATACTCTGTGCACCTGACGGAGGTTTCGAATCGACAACCTTCCACTACTGGAGAGTCACAGTATGGGATTCTGATGGTACTGTCACGGTTGGAAAAGCAAACGAGTTCTTCACTGCATACCCCAGATGTTCTGGGTTACTGCCGCCATACAGCATGAACCAGACCTACATGCCACACACCAGCCTCATCTTCCGTACATGGTTTGAAGATGAGCCGAATCGATGGAAGGGCGTTTGGATCGGCGATAATGGAGACAAGCCGCTATATGTACGCAAGGCGCTACATCTCGACCAGAAGCCGTCTCGTGCCATTGCGTTCGCATCGGGTCTTGGCCATTTCAACTTCGTCTGTAATGGCAATCCTGCTGCGGCGAACGGACATGTCCTCGATCCTGGCTGGACGAACTACCATCGTACGGTACAATTCGTCGCATACGACTTGTCCAAGATATTGAAACAGGGCGAGAACGTGCTTGGCGCACATATCGGCAATGGCTTCTACGCGGGTGACCAGGGCGACGACCGTTTCTTCTGGCCATGCTACGAAGACAACACATACGTTCGATATGGCAATGAGCTTTGCTTCTTCATGGAGCTACATCTGTTCTACCCCGACCGTAGCCACGAGATCATCACTACAGGCCCAGACTGGAGTATCCGTAAGAGTGCGACCACGCTGGCCAACATCTACTCTTCCGAAACCAAAGACTTGCGCGCCTACCCTACTGGATGGGATGCGCCGGGCTTCCAAGAGGACGATCAGTGGAAGCCTGCAACGCCGGTGACTGGCCCGAGGGGGAAATTGAAGTACCAAAGTCAACCGCCCGTTGTGTTGCATGAGACCTTTGAACCGCGATCGACCAAGACGGTCGAGCCAGGTGTTGTCATGTTCGACTTCGGCCAGAATATGACGACCATGGTTAAGATACAAGTCAGCGGTCCGGCAGGCTCGGAAGTCATCGTCCGTTTCTCTGAGACAATTGGTGAGGACGGCAAGGTACTTATGCCCGATCCACTCTTTAAGCAGTTCGAGACGGGCGTGTTCTGCAAGTTCACTCTTGCTGGTACGGGAGTCGAAACATGGGAGCCAGACTTCTGCTTCACAAGCGCACGCTACATCCAGGTTGAAGGTGTCTCACGAGAAGAAGATCAAGGGCTACCAGTCGTGCACTCAGTAGTGAGCAGGCACGTATCGTCTGCCGCACGTCGTCTGGGCTACGTCAAAACCGACAAGGAAGATGTCAATCAGCTCATCAATATGTGTTACTGGTCTTTCGTCAGCAACCTCTTCAGCTACCACACTGACTGTCCTCAACTAGAGAAGTTCGGCTGGCTCGAAGTAACGCACCTTCTCGCACCAGCCACACAATACATCCGTGACATGGAGTCGCTCTACTCCAAGATACTCGACGACATCGTCGATGCGCAAGAGCCAAACGGTCTTTGCCCTACGATGGCACCGGAGATCAGATACATGTGCGGGCCCCTACACGACACAATAACCTGGGGCGGCGCCGTCGCATTACTCCCCGAGATACTGCGCTTCTACTACGACTCTACGCACGTCTTCGAAAAGCTATTCGACCCCTGCGTCCGCTACATGGAGTA